TCCTTCCAATGAATATTCAGGACTGCTTTCCTTTAGGAGTGACTGGTTGGATATCCTTGTAGTCCAAGGGGACTCTCAAGAGTCTTCTCCAGCACCACAGTTTGGAAGCATTGATTCTTCAATGCTCAGCCTTCTTTATGGTCCAACTCTCATATCTGAATATGACTACTGGAAGAACCATAGCTTTGACTATATGGACTTTTGTTGGCAAAGTAATCTCTCTGCTTTATTAATATGCTGTCTAGGTTTGTCATGGCTATTCTTCCAAGGAGCAAGTGTCTTTCAATTTTGTGACTGCAGTCACAATCCACAGTGACTTTTGAACCCAAGAAAATAAAATCTGTCATTGGTTTCACTTTTTCCCCTTCTATTTGCCGTGAAGTGATGAGACCGGATGCCATGATCCTAGTTTTTTGAATGTTGAGTTTCAAGCCAAATATTTCATTCTCCTCTTTTACCCTCATCAAGAGGTCCTTTAGTTCATCTTCACTTTCTGCCATTAGAGTGGTATCATCTGCCTATCTGAGGTTGTTGTTATTTCTCCTGGCAATCTCGATTGCAGTTTGTGCTTCACCAATCCAGCATTTCACATGATGTACTCTGCATAGAAATTAAATAAGCAGGGTGACAATACACAACTTTGTCATACTCCTTTCCCAGTTTTGAACCACTCAGTTGTTCCATGTCTGATTCTAACTCTTGCTTCTTGACTCACATATACGTTTCCCAGGAGACATAATTACTCTTCTATCAGTAGCAATAAAATGGAACACTAAATTGAAAATAGCAAAGGATTTGAACAAACACATCACAGAATAAAATATGGGAGTGATCAATAAACACATGAAAAGTGTTCAGTAGCATTAATCAATAGAAAAATCCAATGTGAAACCACAATTGGATACTATTTTATATGTAGCAGAATGGCTAAAATTTAAAAATGAAAAAAGGAACATATAACTGAGTATTTATATGGAAAAATGAATAATAATCCTATCCTCATTCTATAAAAATAAAATCATCATAATCATCATTTAAGAGATAACCATAAAACCTAGAACCATAAATTTTCTAGAAGAAAGCATAGAAGAATGCGTTTAATGACCTTGATGTCATAGATTAGCACATAGTAGCTAGCACGTGCTGCATCGTAGCAGGATGAAAAGCATTAGATTTTATAACCAGCTTTGAGAATCTTTGCCATGTCCAATAAAGTTAAGAATACATCTACTCGATGACTCAGTATTTTTACTCCTAAGTATTTAATACAAAGGTCAATGAATACAAAAAATATTTTTACAAGAACGTTCATAGTATTTTAAGTCTTAATAACAAGAAATGAAAAACCCAAATATCCATCAACAGGAAAGTTAGTTAGCTATCCATGATTCATTAAAACAGTAGAATACTGCTTGGTATAAAATGTAATAGACTGATACACATAAAGAAAGCACATAAAGAATCTTATAGATATTATGCAAAGTGAATAAAACTAGAAGTAAAAAAAGATGACATATTGTATGATTTCATTTAGTAAAATAGTCAAAAATAACCTACAGTGGTAGAAGTCAGATAGCAATTGCCTCTGTGAGAAGGGGTTTGACTGAAAAAAAAGATTGTTATAAGGGAAATTTCCAGGGTAATTAATTTGTTTTGGGTGGTGAAAGCTCATCAAACAGATAATGTAAGAAAAGTACATTTTATAGTGTGTGATTTATTCTTTGATTTAAAAATAATTTGCTGAAGTTTCACTTATAAAGGGGTTGGTTAGGGTAGAGTCTTAATTTACTTGAATAGTGTCCATTGTTTATTAAGCTCAGAGCATGGTTACACTGACTTGGGGAGGATGAGACCTCACCCACTAAACTAAGAAAGGGAGGAAGGCAGGAAGGAAGGCAGGCAAGCGAACAAACAGAAGCACTTGAATTTTTGTTTCTCTTTTGTATAACTAACAAATATTTATTGAGCGCCTGTTCTGTCCTCTATTTAGGCTTTGGAAATAGAGTGATAAATAAGTCAAATGACTCACTGCCTTCACAAAGCTTCTAGTGGGGAGAAATTAATTAAGTGTACAATGTCAAATATTCCACTTGAATTGAACCAAGGCAGTCCACACTGAGAAGGTATTTGAGTAAGCTAAAAATGAACAATGAAGGAAACCACTTAGAATTTTTTGACAAAAGATATTAATTTAAAGATTTGTTTTGATAGTGAAGATAAATTATATTTTACATGTTATAGTTTTTATTTTGTTATTTTATGTAAAATGGTATGAAAATACTGAAGACAAACATGATTTTTTAAATATAATGTATCATTACTTTTATTTGTGAAAAAATAGAGTTTTGGCATCAATGTAGGGACTGGAATTTGGGAGGATATTATTATCTGATACATAAACAAAATTATACTCTTACAAAACCAAATGATGCTATTAGGAAATTTTACAGTCACTTGTCAGAATTTCTTACACATAAGAGAGGATCTAGGGTTTCCATTCCTTGCATATGTTTAGAGTGTCACCCTGGACTTCTGCTAATGCTGAACATCTGTGTTTTGTTTTCACTGAAGGATGTCTCATTTGGACTGCCAAAAGAGAAGGGGGTCATTAGTTATTCAATAATGTGAAGTTATCCAGCAGAGTATCCCTGTATGAGGAATATTAATGTCAGTAAATTCATAGCCACTACAATTAATCCTAAGGATTGCTTCATACTGGGAGTCATTTTAGGCATAGTTTCAAAGGAGAATGCCAAACTATCACAAATCTCAAAATAAAAACAGAATCCATTTTATACAGCATTTACTGCTTGGGAAATATTTTTAAGCTGATATTTTCTGAATACTAAAGTGAAAACATAAAGAATGAACAAGGTAGGTACTTATGTGTCTGCTGAGTTCCCAAGATTCAAATTATGTTTAATGTAGCTTGTGTTCATGTATTTTGGTGAAAGATGAATACTTCATGTGACTTCTCTCTATTAATTTGTTTATTTGATTATTTTATAAATTACAACAAATCATTATCCATCATGCTGAACTGGAAACTTACAATTTTATGTGAAAGAACATATTCCAGAAGAGAAACAAGCTGCTGTACATTACATGTCATTAATATCCTTATTATACATGATAATGTATAAAACAAATTCACTATAATTTGAATTATTTTGATCATACATAAGCTAAAGGTACTATTACAGGTATTGATATGAATAGTTGGAATAAGTGGTTCATTCTTTTTGCTGCTTAATATATCTTTAATATTCATGTTTGTGCTCTTCTAAAATGTATAAATATAATGCAAACATATCTTCCTAAAATGCAAAGTGACCTTTTATATTTGATAATTAAAGACTCTTTGGGAGACTATTAGTAAGATAGTTGGTGATTTTTAATATTTAGGTACATATTATATAAGCATTTATTCAATATATGTGTGTACTGTAGGCTATCTGAGTCAGCTGTCTGACTCTTTGTGGCCCCATGGACTGTAGCTGGCCAGCCTCCTCTGTCCATGGGATTTTCCAGGCAAGAATATCGGAGTGGCTTGCCATGCTCTCCACCAGGGGATCTTCCTGATCTAGGGACAGAACTCGCAACTCTTACATCTCCTGCACTGGCAGGCGGGATCTTTAACATTAGCACCACCTTAGAAACCCTATGTACACCTATATTCACTCACTATAGTCACACTTTGAATTTAAAGGTAATACAAACAAATAACTGATATTCACAGAAGAAATGGAATAACATAGTGACACATAGCAGCACAGAGATTATATTGACCAAATCTTTATTTTTAAAATGGAAACAGTTTTAATTTTGTCTTCCTGCTTCTTAGTTTTGTATATTATAAAATCAAAGTTTTATTAAAATAAAAGAGTGCATGGAAAGATTGCTTATATGTGTGTGTGTGTGTGTTCAGTGTCTCTTTATATAAATATAATTAAATTGCTTATATATTTGGTGATTATTCATTATAAACTTTGTTTCAAGACATTGTTTATCTTTGAACATGTGACTCTGAAATACATGAGGTATTGCTCAAATTGGTTATCCCATATCTTTCTACCATGTGTCTATTTGACCTCTACTATTATTTTCCAGCCCTCCAGTTATACATGTGCAAGGTTTGAATCACAATTTGTTGTTGTTCAGTCACTCAATCATGTCTGACTCTTTGCAGCATGGACTGCAGCATTCCAGGCTTCCCTATCCTTCACTATCTCTCAGAGTTTGCTCAAACTCACTCATATCCATTGAGGCAATGATGCCATTCAACTATTTCATCTTCTGTCACCCCCCTCTCCTTCTGCCCTCAGTCTTACCCAGCATCAGAGTCTCTTCCAATGAGTCGGCCTTTGCATNTTGTTCACTTAAGAATGCTTTCTTTTCTCTCCTTGCTATTCTTTGAAACTCTACATTCAAATGGGTATCACATCTTTCCTTTTTTTCTTTGCCTTTCATTTCTCTTCTTTTCTCAGCTATCTGTAAGGCCTCCTCAGACAATTAATTTGTCTTGTTACATTTCTTTTACTTGGGGATGGTTTTGGTCACTTCCTCCTGTACAATGTTATAATCCTCTGTCCATAGTTTTTTAGGCATTCTGTCTGTCAGATGTAATCCTTTGAGTCTGTTTGTCCCTTCCACTGCATAATCATAATGGATTTGATTTAGGTTATACCTGAATGACCTAGTGGTTTTCCCTGCTTTCTTCAATTTAAGTCTGACTTTTGCAATAATGAGTTCATGATCTGAGCCACAATCAGCTCCCAGTCTTGTTTTTGCCAACTGTATAGAGCTTTTCCATCTCATGTTGCAAAGAATAAAATCAATTTGATTTTAGTTTTGACCATCTGTCCATATGTTGAATTGTTTCTTGTGTCGTTGAAAGAAGTTATTTGCTATGAGCATTGCATTGAATCACCATACAGAGACTAAATAATTAAAAGAAATATTGGCTCACTTAACTTATCTAACCTTATGTTTTTCCATAGGAGGACGTCAAAAAGGAATATTTGCAAAAGGAACTAAAGAGGGAATGGAAAAATTTCAAGGTACAATACCATGTATTGCAACAAATATTTAGGATAGCTATTTATTCTTCAAACTGCATTAAATTAGTAATAGCTTTTCCAAAGAGTATGAATATTAAAGAAAGTGAATTTTTTATTATAATAAAAGGATGTTAAAGGCAATATTTTTACTAAAATATCAATTGTTCTTTATATATTAATACTGTTGTGTAAGAAACATATCAAATAAATTTGTAGTAACCTTTTTTTCTCTTAGAGGGAAGATTATGCATTTAGTACCTACTGTGTGTTTAAATTGTGTATGCTGCATCATTTAACCCCAAGAACTCCTGTGATTACTTTTCTTATTTTATGGAAGAGGAAACCAAAGACTGGAGGTTAAGGAAATTGTTCAAGAAACAGAGATAGTATAACTTCCAGTGAAACAGTGGGTAAAACAGTTGTAAATATTTAGACTCAAATCCTCTGTCTTCTAATTAGAATGGCTCACCTGGTGTTGAGACTTACTGAAGCCCAGGTTCTTTTGCCTCATCACAGAAAAAATTCAGGATGAGGCAAAGGGATAAGGTGGATAGGCAAACAGTGAGTTTATTAGTATCAAAAGTTTGTGAAAAAATACAAATGGGCAGGTAAGGGAACACAGTCCCAAGAACTAAGAAGGCTGCATTTTTTTTTTCATCAAAGGAAACATGGGGAGGGAAGATCATCTTCTTTCTCATTCTTTGCTAGGCATCAAGGTTTACATCATTTGTTTCTCCCTTGACCCCATATGGTCTAACCAAAACTGTCACGTCACTATTTAAATTATATGCATATTAGCAAAAAGGTGGTAACATGATACTAAAATACAGTAATTCATCTCAGATTCCTGTATAATGTCGCCTATAACCTAGATTCTTTCCCCTACATTTCTGACTTGGCTACATGCAAAATTCTACCCTTCAAGGACCGTTAATTCTGACTTCATGCAGTAAGATTCACATCTCTTGTCTATTGTTTTTAACTATTAGGATTTTTAAATTTTATTTTATTGTGTTTTAAATATTAGGTTTTGGGTTTTTTTTTAAGTATTTTAAGCTTTTAAAGTATTTTTTTAAGTATTACAGTTTTTATTCTATTTTGTTGTGTTTTACCTATTAGGATTTGTGACTTGAGTGTACCTGGCCCATGAATGTGCCTAGTCTTCCTTCAAGGTAGAGTAGATTGTAGATTGGATTCTTTCCTTGAGTGTTTATTAGCCTACAACAGTCTCCTAAGCTCACTTAAAATTCATTTCCTGTCTTTAACCCTCTAGTGAGATTTCTAAACTAACTATAATATTCAATTATTCTCTACCAACTGCATATTTAGAAAATGATTCATAGAACTTCTAGCCGGATGTGTAAGACTATCAGATTTATTAAAGTTTATTGTGGAAACAATTTAAGAAGAGATATTCACAAAGTTGTCCTTAAGGTTGTTGCTGTTTTCTCAAGTCCTTAAATATAGATTGCTTGCAAGTTCATCTGTCACAGGAATTACTGTTAAACATGTTCTGTTACTTAACATTTGATGATAAGTCCTGACAAGATTTGTTATAGAGCCAAGGAGTAGCCATGGCACAACATTGATTTCTTTTCTATATGGTAACACCTATGTCTGGGGACCGTGTAATTTCCTTGGTTTTGAATCGCCGCAGCAAAGATTTGAAACAGCAGATCAATATTACAGCTTGGTTACAACTCAGTTTTATTCAACAAGCAAAGGACAGTACACCCTTGAGGCGTTAGGGCAAGCTGACCCCAAAGGAGAGACCTCAATCTGTCTTGGTTTCCTCCTTTTATATGTTTGTCTCCCTCCCGCCTTGAGCCTGCCCTATGCAAATTGGGCTGGCCGAGAAGGAGGCATGTTTGTTTCACATGAGGTTATCATTCTGGTCCATTGATCTTCTTGTGTTCCATTTTCACGACCTTTTTCCTTTCTTTGTCTTTTACCCACTGCCATTTTGAACTCCTTTCTCCTATTTAACTACCTAACACCTGGACCTTAAAAAAAAAGAAATTCTGTGTCAACGGGAACATCAGATTTCATTTTAATAGTCTATAGACCTAATAGACTTTTCTGGTGGCTCAGACGGCAAAGCGTCTGCCTACAATGCAGGACACCCGGGTTCGATCCCTGGGTAGGGAAGATCCTCTGGAGAAGGAAATGGCAACCCACTCCAGTATTCATTCTTGCTTGGAAAATCCCATGGGAGGAGCCTGGTCGGCTACAGTCCATGGGGTTGCAAAGAGTCGTATACGACTGAGCAACTTTACTTACTTATAGACCTTATACTTACACTAACAAGAAGAGACTGTGAACTTAGATATTTATCCTTTCTAGGGCTAGAAATGTATATAGAAATACAGCTAGAAATGTATGTATTCTATAGATTTGTTGTTGTTGTTGTGTTATAAAACTGGAGCTAAAAACCAATTAGAAATTGTATGAACCAATGCATAGGTGTACACAATGGTGTGATTCATATATTTTTGCCTTTTCATACTGAAAAAAGATGAATCACAAGCTGGAATCAAGATTGCTAGACAATATCAACAACCTCAGATATGCAGATGATATCACTTTAATGGCAGAAAGCGGAAGGAACTAAAGAGCCTCTTGATAAGGGTAAAAGAGAATAGTGAAAAAGCTGCCATGAAACTCATCATTCAAAAAATTAAGATCATGGTGTCCAGGCCCATCGCATCATGGCAAATAGAAGGGGAAAAAGTGGAAGCAATGACAGATTTTATTTTCTTGGGCTTCAGAATCACTGCAGATGGTGACCACAGTCATGAAATTAAACCACTCTTGCTCCTTAGAAGGAAAGTTATGACAAAGCTAGACTGCATATTAAAAAGCAGAGATGCCACTTTGTCAACAAAGGTCTGTCCAATCAAAGCTATGGTTTTCTAGTAGTCATGTATGAATGTGAGAGATAGACCATAAAGAAGGCTGAGCACCAAAGAACTGATGCTTTTGAACTGTGGTGTTGGAGATGACTTTTGAGAGTCCCTTGGCCTGCAAGGAGATCTAACCAGTCAATCCTAAAGGAAATCAACCCTGAATATTCATTGGAAGGACTGTTGCTGAAGCTGAAGCTCCAGAACTTTAGCCATCTGATGTGAGAAGCCAACACATTGGAAAAGACCTTGATGCTGGGAAAGACTGAAGGTAAAGGAGAAGTAGGTGGCTGAGAATGAGATGGTTAGTAGCATCACTGACACAATAGACACGAATTTGAGTACACTCTGGGACATAATGGAGGACAGAGGTGTGGTATAGTTCATGGGGTTGCAAAGAGATGGTCACAAAGAGTGACTGAATAAGAACACAATTGTGTGTTAATCAACATGTTAAGTAAACTACTCCTCTCCCTCTCACAACAAAGCAAAACAAAGAAACAAACAAAAACCCTGTTTTCATGGTGCAAATCATCTCTTCATAGCCAATTTCAAGCTCCAAACATGATGTCACTGTTTATGCAGTTGGAAAGAGATGTGCCCATTTGACTCTCATGAGATATGAACTGGCTTTAACACACAAGAAGTTCCTGATGTCTGCGAGATTAGGTGCTGATGAGGTAGAAATTACTAGGCAGTCAGTATAGGACTCTAAGACCTCCTCTTGTTTTCAGTGAATATCTCGCTCCATTAACCTAAAGCTATACCCTTTGTCCAGAATTCCCGGAATTTGGGCCTGATAAATTATCAGCACTCAGATCTAGGGAAGAGCAGCAATTAATTTCTGTTCCATATGCCTGAGGGAAAAACAACTGATGATCATGAATCTTTAACCCTCATACCTGGTCCATTGTAAAACGGCCAGGGGGCATGAGCAAGAGTGGAGGTTAAACTGAAGATCAAGAGAAGCCATCAGGACTTAACACAATGTTAAGTTAGACGTTGTGACCTTTAAACTGCTTGTTGTTTAGTGGCTTCAGTCCTATCCAACTCTTGGACGAGCCCAGGCATTGCAGCCGCCAGGCACTGGGATTCTCCAGGCAAGAATATGGTGTGGGTTGCCATTTCTTTCTCCAAACTGACTGATTAGAAATGACATATTTTAAGAACAGGAGCCAACCAAAAATGTACAGATTAAAACTGGTAAGGATATAAACTGCTGTAATTCCCACCTTTGGGGGACTCTTTACCGCCCCCTGCTCCCCTCCCCCAGTATCTATGCTGAGAGCTTTGTACTTTCCTTCTCTTTAATACATTCTATTTGCTTGCTACTGTGTTTGTGAAGTTCCCATTTAACTTACACAAATCTGACTTAAACACTAGGTCCAGGAAGGTGGCTTTAAGAATTTCCAGAGAGTAAAGAAAGTGCAAATGAGAAAAGGAGCCATTCTACCTAGACTGGTTGAGTCATTCTACCCCACCTCCTGAGAGATGAGGTGGAAACTAAACACTATTTTGGAAGATCAAGTAAAATGTAGAAATTTGGGGGATACTTGTTTATAAACTGAAATATCATTTTCTAAGTGTTTTATACATGTGTCTCCCTCTTTTTTTCTTTTATTTAAAGGTGCTCCTGAATAGAACCACACAATACAGAATAGCATTACCTGCATATGAAAATAAACACTTAATGTAAACTTGAATATAGAAGTGAGAAAAGAATAATTTGACAAATTACTTTCTAATGCCTTTTCAGTTTTCAATTTCAGATTTAAAACATTTGATCCTTCAGTAGTTTGAAATAAAAGTGATATAATAATAATTCCAATTTATATACTTCACTCAAATTTATTCTCAGGATAGAGATTTGAGATTTTTTGTTTGTTTTGGGTAATTTTGAATACATTTTCAAAAGGTGATTTTGCAATTATTTTATTCTATTTGGAATAAATCCCAAATAGAATTCCAAATAGAATAAAATATTACAATTCCAAATAGAATAAAATAATAAAATATTAATAATTATGAATTGAAATAGAATTTTGAGTCAGAGCAGAAATCTATTCTACCATAAAAAGACCTAAAGTAAATTAAAAC